GAGCAGAAAGAAACGATCCCCCTCGAAGAGGAAGCGGTCAAGGCCCGGCCTGCCTGTTGTGGGCGTAATGGCGTGTGGGGAGGGGGGATGGTGAGGACGGCAGCTAGGATGGGCCGTCACTGATTCGTCTTTCAGCCGCGTGGTCCATTCACGTGGTGCGTTGGGCCCGTCCTCCTTGTATGTTTGGCAGCCTGTGCCATCTTCTGACGGAGCGCTGAGATTTATGAGATGGATTTTGTGACAAGGATTGTGGCCACGCATGGGAGGGCTTGGCTGCTGCTTCGCGGGGAGCGGTGGAGTGAAGGAGAGGGGGAATTATGTGTACGTCAATCGGCCCAACATGTGGAAGCGGATATTCCATGTCGCCACTTCATCGAGGACGCCAGCGGCACATCACCATTCGATTGTTGACGGTGTTGAAATTTCCTAGCGTCGCATTGCCGCTGCGTTTCATTGGTGTTGCGTTGTCTCTATGGGCGAGTTGGTGGCCTTGCTTAGGTTTGGGGGTGCAACCATCTTAGGGGTATGCTCCTGGACCCCCACCAACGAAGTCTGAAACGATTCCTCACTCTGGACCAGTCTTGGGTCCCTCATGGATCATGTGGCCCTGTTGGGCGATCTTGGAACCTCCTGGGCTCCTCGCGGGGGCTCCCTTGGGACTCTCTGGGGACACCCTGGACGCCCCTGGGGTCATCTCGGGGCTCCGCGGTGGCTTCGGGGCTCTGGGGGCCGTCCTGGAGCCCCCTGGGGGCCCGGGGACCCGCCCCACCTCGCGAGGGGGGGAGCCGTGCGGCCCGCTTTCGAACCTGCGGCGGAACTCGCTGTGCAGCGGGGGCCCGTGTTGAGACACACCCCGCTCGCCCTCCAGGGTGCCTTGGGTCTCTTGGAGGAGGAGGAGGAGGAGGAGGAGGAGGAGGAGGAGGAGGCGGAGGAGGCGGGGCCTCGATGGTTTCGCTGTGGAAACCGCGAGGTTCCCGCACCAAAAGTCGATGGACGTCCTGGGGTTCTCCGGGTTGGGTTTCTTGTGTAAGGTTTCTGTTGGTCGGGCGGTTGAACTTACTTCCGACGACATCCTTCTTTATGCTGCTGCCCACTTCTTCCGACCGATGGGTGGGTTGGGCGTGACTGTAAGTGCAAAGTGTCTCGGTGATGGGAGTTTCGGCGGGCAGTGTGTCGCGCGTGGCAGATGAGACGCGCAGCGGCTTGTCGCGGCGCGCGCGCGCCAGGTCGACCGCCAGGAAGAAGTCGGCCTCAAAGAAGAGGTCGGCCTCCAGGAAGAGGTCATCTTCGAAGAAGAGGTCGTCCTCAAGGAAGAAGTCGGCCTCGAGGAGGAAATCGGCCTCGAAGAAGAGGTCCGCCGGGCTGCGGGGGGTGGGACGCGCCTGTCGTCGGACTGAGGGGCAGGTCTTGGCCGGGCGTGGCTAAGACTGGGATGGATCCTCCAGGACCACCAGACCTCCGAGATCCACGACTCGTCTCCAGGCTTCCCGGATGGGGTCGGAGCAGATGGGGTCGGAGGATCGCGCCGCATCGCCGATGCATCGGCGATGCGGTTCGATGCGCAGCCCGATTTTTCACACGCAGACGTCGCCGATGCATCGCCGATTCATCCCCGATGTCGACGTTGCATCGCCGATGCATCGGCGATGCATCGGCGGTGCAATGGCGCTGCGGCGCGGTCCTCCGACCCCCTGTACGGTGGAAAACCATGCCAAGAGCCACCCTGCGCGCCTACAGGGTACCCTGGGCCCCTTGAGCCTCGAGGGCTCGGCTATGGACGGCGTGGCGTTCGCACGCCAGGCATCGGTGGACGTCCTGGGGCCTCGGGGTCGGGCTTCTCTCAGGAGGGGAAATTAGCCTGGCGAAGAACCCAACCATATGCAGTTGTCAGTACCGCAGCTGCGGGTTTCATCTTCAGTGGAACTCCCCATAGGACTACGGAACGTGTGAGGGGTGTGCCGAGATGGGTGCCACTGGGGCATTCGGCGAAGCTCTCTATGGGGACATGACACACGCGCGGGGCGTGCCGACATGGGTGGCGGAAACGCATGTGAGGGCCGCCACTGGGGCCTCCAGTGGGCTCCCTATGGGTCCCGAAACATGATGCTGCTGCGGGCGGGGGGGGGGGGCGCGGGATGGGTGGCGGAGACGCATGTAAGCGCCGCTACTGGGGCCTTCGGTGGAGCTCCCTATGGGGCCACGAAGCGCGTGAGGGGTGTACTGGGATGTGTGGCGGGGACGCATGTGAACGCCGCCACTGGGGCCTTCGGTGCAGCTTCCTATGGGGCCAGGGAACGTGTGAGGGGTGTGCCGAATTGGGTGTGGGTGGTGACGCATGCGGGCGGTGCCACTGGGGCCTTCGGTGGAGCTCCCTATGGGGCCACGAAACCTGTTGTTGTGAGGGGCGTGCCGGGATGGGTGGCGGGGACGCATGTGTGCGCGGCCGCTGGGGCCTTCGGTGGAGCTCCCTATGGGGCCACGAAACGTGTGAGGGGTGTGCCGAATTGGGTGGGTGTGGGTGACGCATGTGAGCGCCGCCACTGGGGCCTCCGGTGGATGATGGGGCCACGAAACCTGTCAGGGATGTGCCGAAATGGGTGTGCGGGACGCATGCGCATGTGAGCGCCGCCATTGGGGCCTTCGGTGGGGCTCCCTATGGGGCCACGAAACGTGTGAGGGGTGTGCCGAATTGGGTGTGCGTGACGCATGCTGGCGGCAGCACTGGGGCCTTCGGTGGGGCTCCCTATGGGGCCACGAAACGTGTGAGGAGTGTGCCGAATTGGGTGTGCGGGACGCATGCGGGCGGCAGCACTGGGGCCTTCTGGGGCTCCCTATGGGGCCACGAAACGTGTGAGGGGTGTGCCGAATTGGGTGTGCGGGACGCATATGGGGCCACGAAACGTGTGAGGGGTGTGCCGAATTGGGTGTGCGGGACGCATGCGGGCGGCAGCACTGGGGCCTTCGGTGGGGCTCCCTATGGGGCCACGAAACGTGTGAGGGGTGTGCCGAATTGGGTGTGCGGGACGCATGCGGGCGGCAGCACTGGGGCCTTCGGTGGGGCTCCCTATGGGGCCACGAAACGTGTGAGGGGTGTGCCGAATTGAGTGTGCGGGACGCATGCGGGCGGCAGCACTGGGGCCTTCGGTGGGGCCCCCTATGGGGCCACGAAACCTGTCAGGGGTGTGCCGAAATGGGTGTGCGGGACGCATGCGGGCGGCAGCACTGAGGCCTTCGGTGGGGCCCCCCATGGGGCCACGAAACGTGTGAGGGGTGTGCCGAAGTGGGTGTGCGGGACGCATGCGAGCGGCAGCACTGAGGCCTTCGGTGGGGCCCCCCATGGGGCCACGAAGCGTGTGAGGGGTGTGCCGAAGTTGGTGTGCGGGACGCATGCGGGCGGCAGCACTGAGGCCTTCGGTGGGGCTCCCTATGGGGCCACGAAACGTGTGAGGGGTGTGCCGAATTGGGTGTGCGGGACGCATGCGGGCGGCAGCACTGGGGCCTTCGGTGGGGCTCCCTATGGGGCCACGAAACGTGTGAGGGGTGTGCCGAATTGGGTGTGCGGGACGCATGCGGGCGGCAGCACTGGGGCCTTCGGTGGGGCTCCCTATGGGGCCACGAAACGTGTGAGGGGTGTGCCGAATTGGGTGTGCGGGACGCATGCGGGCGGCAGCACTGGGGCCTTCGGTGGGGCTCCCTATGGGGCCACGAAACGTGTGAGGGGTGTGCCGAAATGGAGGATGATGACGATGATGATGGTGGGAGGAGGGAGGAGGGAGGAGGAGGAGAACGAGGAGCGTGAGCGGGAGCGGGCGCTGTCTTTTCAAAACGAGGACCCAACACCACAGGATGGTTGGGAAAAACACAGACACAATTAATCGTCGACCCCCAAGGAAAATATGCGAAAATATGGGAAGTGGGGGGGAAGACGGAAACCCAGAACATATGGGAAAAAATTGGGAAACCTTTTTATGTGTGTGTGTGTGTGTGTTTATTTGTGTGTCCCAGGGCCCCTTCATTCTCGTGGCAGGCTCGTCGTGGTCGAGCCCCTGCTGCGCACCCCGGAGCGGCGCCCCGCCGTGAACGGGGCGCCCCGGAGCGGCGCCCCGTTCACACGCCAGGCATCGATGGCTGCCCTGGGGCCTCGGGGTTGGGCTTCCCGTGGCAGGCCTGTCGTGGCCGAGCTCCTGCTGCGTGCCCCCGGAGCGGCGCCCTCCGGGCCCGCCTCGGGGGCGCCCCTCGCGGCCGCGCCTCGTCGCCCGCCGCGGCCGCTGCGGCGCCCCGCGGGGGGTGGCCGTCCTGGGGCCACGTCTGCCAAGCTGGCGAGGAGTAGTTGCTGTAAGCGGGGGCGGGCTCGCACAATTTACGCGAAAAGTCGAAAAGTCGTACAGTTTACGACTTTTCGACTTTGCGGGTTTTCCCGTTTACGCGGGTTGCACATTTCAGCGCCACGTCTGGCCCTCCGCCAGCGGGCCAGCGGCGGGCGTGGGAGAATTCGGCGGCGCGCCCCGGGGGGGGAAGCTCGGGGAGGCAGGTCTTCTCAGCAGAGTCAGGGCGGGAGGCCTTCTCGGTATGGTCGGCCTTCGGGGGCCCTGACCACCTCGGGGCCGTCAACAAAACGGCTCGACCGGTCTCGGGGATCGGGTCGAGACCTCTGGGTGTCGACGTTCTGAGCAAAAATAGTGACGACGGGGGTCTGGGTGAGGGGCGACAAGCCTTGTCAGATGGCGCTGGGGCTTCTCAGAGGCCCTCTGGCTTCCTCAGAAGCCCCCTGTGGCTTCGGAGCCCTTTGAGCAGGTCCGTCCCCTCTGCATTCCCCCCTGGAGGGCGCGCCGCCGAAGAATGATGATGATGATGATGATGATGATGATGATGATGATGATGATGATGATGATGATGATGATGATGATGATGATGATGATGATGATGATGATGATGATGATGATGATGATGATGATGATGATGATGATGACTGTGATGATGATGATGATGATGATGATGAT